GGGGCGTGAGGACCCCGGCCCGGGACCCCGCGCACAAGGCACTCCCTGTAATCGGAGCTTTCGAATTGCGCCGCGCGGCATGTGGACGCGTCACCGGAGGGAGGCCGGCACCTGCGGAGGACGTGCCTGGCAGCCGCCGCGAGAACAGCCTGTCCTGGGGTGGGGGGAGCGCGGGAACTCGGTGCGGGAGGGACGTTCTGGCTGCGCCCAGCGCTGGGCCCCCGCCAAGGCGCCGGAAAGCCTCCCCCTGCGCGGGCGCAGAGCCGGCCGCGCCGCCTGTCGCTGGGGGCGAGCTAGTTAATCTGTAACTCCCCACACCCTCCGGGCCTGCAGGCCCCATCTTACGGGGGAGAAGGGGGGCTCGGGAGGCCGCGGCCTCCCCAGGGGTCTCGCCAGGCCTGTCCAGGGCCTTGTGGAAGGACCCCTGCTGGGGGATGCGGCTGGAAGCCGAAAGGGGAGCCCTTCCGGGGCCGTGTGGGCACCCCTCGAATGTTGGGGGCGTTGGATGAGGCAGGGAGGGCTTTGCCCTAGTGGGGTGCGAGCGGCACCGGGGAAGGTAGACGGCCGGGTGGGAGCTTGGTCACCTCCTGGGTGGGATGCACCCGAAGGGTCGGCCCTCCACAGCAGGGCCGTACCCCCCACACCCCAGATGCCTACCCCTGGCTCCAGGGCTTGTGGGGTGCCAGGGGAGGTTAAACCTGGGACCCTTGACTTCCTCCCCTGCTTTCGTGCCTACCAGCCCCTCGCAGAAGCACGGTGGCGGGGCGTAGGGCTGAGGGGTAAGGCGCAAGTCTGCTGCTAGAGTGTTGGGTGACCTCAGGTGGGTTGCTTCCCTTCTCCCAGCCTCAGATTCCTCCCTTACAAAACGGGCGTCCACATGCCTCCTTCTGCGGGTTCCTGGAAGGGCCGACGAGGCTAGGCTCGAGCGCCGGAGCAGGGCAGGCATGAGGTGGCTGGTGTCAGGATTTGCATGATCCCTGCGGCCTCCGCAGAAGGGGCACCGCCCTGGATAGCGTCAGGGAGGCTGCCGGGAGGGGCGCCGACACAGACAGCCCTTGCGGGGTTCCTGGGAGCATTGAAGGGGGTCGGCCTTCGGCACACAGTCTGGCCCAGGGGGCTTCCAGAAGAAGCTCCAAGTGGCTCCCCGGGAGGAGAGATTTGGGGCAGCCGAGGCGCTGGTGCGGAAGTCGGCCACCAGGGGGCAGCA